AAAAATGTTTTTTGGTGTAGTTATGCATGCTGATTCCAAATATCAGGTTTATTTTTGATAGAACTGCATTTTTCATTATCCAAACATAGAAATATGCTCTTTTTTATGTTATGTTTTGTGAAAGTGACTCTCTCTAAATGTATCATGCAATTTTGCTAAGACTTGCAATGCCAAAGGTCTGATTTAGTTATTTTATATTATTATACTATCCTCAACAAAATAATATCCAAACAAAAGAATAATAAACAATTCAAAAAGTATAACTTATGGAAATGCTCCAGTATCTTCCAAAATACCTTATTAATGATTGGAAAAAGACGACGTACGATTAAAAGTGATTGCTTATTCGCATGAGACAAAATTATTGAATGCATCAGGCAAAAGATTTTTTCACCTTTATTACTGGTGAAATTATCGAAAGCAATTCACTCTTGTCGTATAAAACGCACTCGATTGATGCATTCTTAACAAAGTGTCAAGAAAAGTAAAATGTGGTTTTGTCTGAAGCAGTAGTATATTTTATATTCAATTGAAGAAAATTTCAGAAATTCCTTACCTGATAGTATAAATCGTCAATAACTATAATTAAAGCAGCATAAAGCCAAAGCACCCTTATCTCAAGAGACACTAGTAAATTTTTTTTCAAGAAATGGACGACGACACATAAGCTCACAAATCGGTCCACTAAGAATTTCTACGTAAAAACTACTCATATATGAGCAAAACGTTGTGCTGAATCATTTGGTGACGTTTTCAAATGAAACAAAAATTATTTGGATTGTTATGGGCCACTATACGATCACGATAGTAGACCTATACAACTTTCAGTAAAACGACTTTTACTCAATCGCTGAAATGGGCTCATTAGATTGCGCTAAACTATGTAGTACGAAGTCGCATATATATCATTAGAAAGAGCGCAGAAAACTGTACAATTGTGTACATGGACCATGAAAACATCACATATCTTTGAGAAATTTTTCCGTTCATCTCTCCAGACAAACAATGCGTCAATATGGGTGACCAGATAGCTGTCGCCGACATTGTTGACGATCTTTCTCTCTCAGTATCAATTTAAAACACTTTCGTTTACATACCAATCAATAGCTCTTTTGGAGCTCTACGAAAATTTTTGATTCGAATTCGGTCGATATCGATTAAAATGGCTCGATTGATATCCACAAAAATTACATATTTGGAATCAGCGTAAAATTCTGAATCAGCCTATATGGTTTTTAAACAATTCTGACTACTTTCACTTTCTCGAGAAACTTCGCGCTGATCCTCCACGGGGATGTATCAAAAAATGAATACAATTAAAGCACCATTTTTCTTACTTCATGATTTGGTTTTTCGACTTCGATCGAACTTTTGAAAGTTAGTTGCTCGTTGCTCATAGCCCATTTGACGTTTTCAGTGAATGCATTTTTTGACACATCCCCGTGGAACACCAGCGCGAAATTCCTCGAGAAAGTGAAAGTTGTCACAATGGTTTGAAAAATACACAAATTGATGCAGAGTTTTCTGCTGATTCCAAATATGCCATTTTTTTGAATACCAGTCGAGTCATTTTAATCGATATCCACCGTATTCGAAGCAAAAATTGCTGTTCTTTGCTGCCGGTGATGATTACTTACCTATATTCAGCGTGTTTCCCCAAAATTCATTTCCACGAAATAGTATCATTTTGTAGAGCTTCAAAAAGGCTACCGATTGATATGTAAACGAAAGTGTTTTAAATTGATTTAAGAGAAAAAGATTGTCCACAATGTTGGCGACAACTATCTAGTCACTAATATTGGAGCATTGCTTATCTAAAGGATGATTTGAAAAATTTCTCCAAGCGATGTGATGTTTTCACGGTTCATGTACACACTTGTGCAGTTTTCTGTGCTCTTTCTAACGATGTATATGCGATTTCGGATAACATAAATTAGCACAATCTAATGAGTCCATTTTAACGTTTGAGTAAAAGTCATTTTACCCAAAGTTTTATAGATCTAATATCGTGATCGTGTAATGACCCATAACTATCTAAATCATTTTGTTTCATTTGAAAACATCATCAAACGATTCAGCACAATTTTTACCCATGTCTGAGTAGTTTTTACGTAGAAATTCTTAGTGGGCCGATTTGTGAACTTATGCGCCCCCGGTTCTTGATAGAAAAAAATGACAAAAAGAGTTAGAAAATACTTTACGTTAGTTTAATCAGTACTTTGAACAATAGCCAAGGAAAAAGGGCTTTAATCAAGATGAAAATTCGAGAGAGTACTGAACTCATTACCCTTCTCAGTGTGTACAAGTATAAACAAATTTCGAAATACCACTCCACAGTCGACATCTTAGTTTGTCTCAAGCTCACTGATACAGTCTTTTGATACGTGAATTCAAAGAACTAAAACAAAAATTAGAAATAAATGTGCTGTCATAATTTATATTTATTATCGAAGGGGAAATTACGTGAAACTATCCATTGTTGACTTTTCTATTTCAGATAAAGTTAAAAATCGATCGAACTACCTTCTTGTCAATTATGACAGCCGTGATAAGTGCACTGTAACGGGTGATTAACGGTTATTTGTATAATTGCCAAAGGAAACAACATGATGCATCATAACAGGACACGATTAATTTCTGCTCAATCGGCAGACCAGGCAGCACGAGTGGCTGTGGAGCAGCCAAACCGTTCAATGTATGTATTTTACGTTTTCTCTCGTATAGGACTAATTTACATTACTATTTTAGTCTTTCGCTCTCTGTATTAGGTGGTCTTAGCTGCCTATGCATTATCTTATTTTTGATTGCTGTCACTATCGTCTTGTCTCTCATTCCAGTTTATGTATCTTCGCGTGATCTTACTGTGTCTAAGAAGTCAGAAACATTTACCTTCAATTTTAAGTTAAGTAATGGTCAAATACTGACCACCGGTGAATTTAATGCCAATCAAAACGCAATTTTGCAGGCTGCTGTTAGTCTCTTTTATTATTCTTCTTTATCATCAATTCTTTTCCTTTATAGTTACAAAACTTATTGAACAGTAACTCGGTCACAAAAGGCAGCACAATTACTATTATCAGTGCCGTTGGTGTCGCTAGCAGAAGACGAGTAAGTTGAAAATACATAATATTCGTCTTACGTATGGGATGATTCAAGCCTATACGTATTATTTATCTCATAGTATTCAACTGGTTACGATTCAATTCTTTAAACTTCGGGTTTTCTATAAGAACGAAGTAGAAACAACAATAAGCTTTCAATTTGCTGTTATAGGATAAAGAAAAAACGACAATCGAAGATGTATATTAGGAGTTGTGATATTAATTCATCAAAGCTTTAGATTTGAAATACATTTTTCCTAGTGTTACATTTCGGAAAGAGCATGTTGTAGTACTCACAAGAGGTTAAGCAAAATGTCGGGAAAAATAAACATCGTTATCTTTGAAGAAACAGTCAGCAGACAAAAGTCTAAACAAAAAAAAACATTTTTTTTTAAATGCTTATATTTACTGGAAAATTCTACAAGATCATTTTGAAAGAACTATATTAAATATACTGAGATTAAAAACTAAAAAAAAAAAAACTATATGATACTGTAGTCGTTGCTATGAATGATACTATTTGAATTTTATCTGAATGTTTATTAACCAGACATGAGTAACATTGAAAGAAATGTCGATTTGTAAAATACATCAGATCTTGGATTATCTATACTACCTAGTGTGCAAATATTCTGGCATTTTAAATAAATGAGTATATTTTATTCATGGCTATTTTGTATCTATTTGAAAGTCTTTATAAAAATATGAATAGTGTATTTTAAAACAAGATGAATTCCACTTCCTTCAGTGGATGTTATTCTAATTGAAAACAAAGAAATTTCATTGTTACCAAACAGACATTAATAGAGGAATCCCCTTAGTTTTAATTGATTTCTCTCAAAATTGGAATCTTACTTAGTATCATGACATCAAAATATGCCTAGTTTTCAGGATTTCAGTTGATAAATCTTAAAAGAGTGCAATGAACATCATTCATAGACTTTTATAAGGCTAAAAATCTCTTCATAGATTGTTATAATCTCTTAGGCTTTTCGAAAAAACATATTAAAAAATTATGATAATAAATGAGATACAATTAGAAGACTTTCCAAGAAAATTTGTGCACTTATACATAAATGAAGATTCGTGTGTCTCTTAATGCAGAAAGAAATTTACTTATATTTGTGATTTTATAATTATTAATAGATATCGATTTAACTTCCAAATGAAGCATTCAGATTTTGATCAGAGAGCGAACGTGTAAAAAAGAGCTAACATTAATTATTTTATGTGCTTTGTTTTTCAGCGCAGGCAACAGTCAACAGCAAAATCGGCATATGTTCGAACCGTTTTGATTATTCAGTATCCTCCTGCTTCGTCCATTAGGCGAGCCCTTATTGCTCTCCTCATTAAGTTTATTATAGATGAAGAACTGGGTATGATATATATATATACTAGTAATTTCTCAAACATAACTGATATTGATCTGTATTTAGCACAAGAGCTTGAAAATCAGAACATTATTAGTACGACACCAACTGTCATCACAACAACGACAAACAGCACTTGTATGTATAAATGAAAGACATAGATAATGTTGACCAAGGAGAATTTATCCTCACATTTTATTATACTTCTTCAGCAACTACAGCTATACTTTGACTAAACTGTCGTTCAATTTAGGGATATAAAATGACTCATTCAATAGGAAAAATATCTATTTTGATTGATACCCAATATGACGAAAGAATGAAGCGAATACTATTATTTTTTACATGAGAAAATATTGATAAAGTTTTTCTTCTACTATATCAACAGGATGTGACATTGATTCTCTTTCTCTATGATAATTTCATTTCAGTCATCAACGGTACACGTTCTCTTGCCCGTCGATCATTGAAAGAAGGTGGTGCTCCAGCAGGCATAGTTTACATCGATTCTCATCAGATAGTAGCGAAGATGGGCAATGTCAGTAGTGTATCATTTTATGTTGATCGAACATGCGCTTTGGCTACTATTCAATTTGGTGCATTCGATCTGATCGATCGAAATCTGGACTTGAATGAAGCTCAACTTGTTCTTACTCATACATCAGGTCTATTGAAACTGGGTACCACGAAAGAACTTAAGCCTTATATGCATCTGATTACTATTCAATTGTGTCGTGATAAAGCAGTTAATAATGTGAATAATGGAAGCTGTAAAGGTACTCAATTTCCCGTTCTTCCTCATCAATATCTTGGTATTCGTTCGGATTCATGTCGACTTGGATATGCGCCAACACCAGACAATCATGTTCTTGCTACAACATGGGTGAGTAAAAGATTCTTATTTTGGAAAAAAAGAAAATTTTTTGAAAACAAGACAATATATAAGAGAAAATAAAAAAGATTAACTCTTTCAATGTTCTCTATAAGCTTTGTTATTCATACTCAAGAACAAATTGTTGAAACTAAAAAAATAAAGCGTTACGTAGTCTATTAAAAACATCTTATCTTAAATTTTCTTGATTAAGAAAAACCATTTTTCAAAAACTCTTTCTGATCAACTTGGCAATTTGCACAAGAAAATTTTGTTCTAATTTCAAATACATTTCATATACTTCCTACAGTGAGGGCCCAAAAAAGCATGCCCTTTTTCATTTTTGCACATAAACGAATAATAAGGATGTTCTAAAAATTTTCTCTTATATCTAATTTTCTAGAGCTTTTCTCGCTGATCATTTTGGTAAAAAAAACTTTTTGATTTTCATTGAGTAATGACAATGTTATAGTCAAAATACTAAACACTGTAACATAAAGTAGGGAAAAAGTTTAGCACACTTTTAGTATTTGGCTAATTTTTACATTATNATCAAGAACAAAGTTAATATATGCGTTATACATCTCAACTTATGAGATGTCAAAGTAGTATTTAGGATGAATTAAATTCCTCCAGCCGTTGCAAAATGGCTCAGAGTAAAATAGGCTTAAATTTGACAATAAGTGTAAAAAAAGAATGCATTCTTTTATGTTAATTTTTATCGGTTCACGCGTTGCATTTTTCCTATCACTTCAACAGTACGAGATAGATGTTGCTTCTGTCTTGTCAAGAATGTAGTCAAAGAAAAAAAAATTAAGTCTTATGATGTCGTTCAATTCTCATTTTCCACCACATGATTTTTATATCAATCAAACCGCCCTATTCCAGAAACAGGGCATTCGATGGATTATGCCACACCATTGGCATATTCGGCAGGCTAACACTCAATTTATAAAGTTATTTTATCAGTGGCTCTTCTGGAACCGCTATGGGGGGTAAAGGGTTAATACTAGTTCAAAATTAATACTAAAGTTGTAAATGATTTTTTTAACACTAGCACAAAAGCATTAAATTACTTTCTTAATTCCAATATAAAAGCATTAAAAATAGGCTTAATTAATGCAATGCTAAGCTACCATCCCTAATGCTACATCATTTTATAGTTCAATTGTCGTTAAAGTTGATTGTTCGCTTTCTTTTTGTAAGAGTTCATAAGAGCAGATGTTTATTAAATCATAATCAACGATTTGCATGATCTGAGGTAAATAAAAATGGGAAAAATTCCAGAAATAAAGATAAAAAATAGCACATATTGTTTTTGGTATCGAAAAAAACCTAGTTTTTTGTGTCGTAACCAAGTGTGGTCTTTTCTTGTTTTGATGAACTTGATTTTTAAAAATAAAAACTGTCTAACCCCTCCTCCTTTAAAACAGAGAAATTTTTTAGATTGAGCTTGATCAATGGTGAAATTATATGCAGTTACAAAGTAATTATGACTTTTGGAACATTCTGAACAGTTGTGAGCTTAATATAAATTTTGATTCAGTTTGGCTCGGTTCCAAAAAAATACGAACTGATCCCATTTATGGTTGTCATCATTTGTCATTCCTAATTATATCTTTACCTGCAACAAGATTTAATAAAATAAAAAATAAAAAAGTATAACAAATATAAAATCTTGAGGGTGCTCAATTGAATATTGATCTGAGAAAATTAACTAAATTTGAAATGAATTTTTGCTACGAAAAAGACAACCTTTAAAATAATAAAAATAATTAAAAAATGATTTCAATTATCATCTTCTCATTTATATATTATTTTCTATAATATTCACAAAAGTGTAATTTCTGTTTGTTATACTAAATATTTATGAATAAAATTCAATCTATCTTTTCCTTTTTTGAACATCACTTGTTCAATATTTGATGAACAGGGTTTGCCAAATTCAAAAGTTGTAAATCGGAATTTTACAATAAAGAAATCAGAAAAATCAGAACATTTTTCATAAGATTTCGGAAAAAAAAATTTGGGAGACATTTTTTGACATTTAATTGCACATATCGCTGTTTTTTTAAATATGTTTTCTTCTATCATCATTTTGTGTCAAAACTGTTACTGCCGATGTCGTGAAAATCGTGGCGATTTTCACGACATTGTGATATAGTTTTTTTTCTCGTCTTTAATCTCACTTATATTAACTCTGAAATTCATCATTCATGGCTGAATCTAATTCAGTTTAACATTTGAGAATTATCTTGTAGAAAAGCACGCCTTCTGAAACCTAGAATTCAGTTCATGTGGAAGAAATAGGTTATTCAAATGGCTTTTTTCACGATACAAGGTATCTCATTCAGGTCGGAAAGGCTTTAGATTCATGAGAGCGTGTACTTCTACTGGTCTTAAAACTCTTTGCTATTTGATCATTACAATAGAACAATGATTATGCATTAATTACCGGTAAAAATTTAATGAGAACTTATAAGAAAACTCATAAAAGCTCGAATCTAGAAAAATATTACATTTCCGAAAACTTCGGAAAAAAACTTAAAATTCAGAAAATTTTCGGGAAAAATGTCAAAATTTAGAATTTTTCCTGCCATTTCGAAAAATCTGTCAATCCTGGCTGCATCATATGTTAACTGATTGGCATACTTTAGAATAACTAACCTAATTGGTAGAAGAGATAATTTTTGCTATTTATTGTGGTGAACGGACTTAGCACACGAAAGTTGCAGTTGGTTATTCGAAGCGTGAATATGTGTTTCCATGACAACAGGAATCAGTAATACATATGAATATATATATATATACATTCAGCATGTTTATCTTCGCTATTGCTTTTAATCTAAGTGTCATCAGTGACGAGTAAAAATATTTTTAGTAATACTGACAGAATTTTAGAATGACAAAGACAGTAGCTGTGTAATATACCACTTGATTAACTCGATTTTTTATAATTGACAAAATCCTTATGTCAAACACGAGATATTATTATCGAATGGGTGTCAAGAACAGTGAAATAAGTTCTATTCGGATTCAAGTATGAAAAGTTCTATCTATGAAGAGGATATCAAGATGAACAATTGCATCTGCTTCGCTAGTGTATAACCACAATTGAAGAATCTTATTTAATATAAAATTCAATTATTCTTAAATTGATCAAGGGTCAAACAAGTCCCATATTTTTTTTTCTAAGTAGTTATTTTTCAAATATTCTCATCATACAGTCGAATGAACATCTATAACTTAATTTAGTTCATATGATACTAGTCTCAAAATTCTAAGTATTTCCAGCTACGGGCAATGTCTAATAATACAAGAAGTTTTACATGAGAAAAGTATCTTTTAGTCTTAACTATAATTGGAAGCATATAGATGATATTATTCAGTTCATATTATACTGTGATTATATGAATAATCAATTAATTTTCTTGAATCTATCCACATTATTAATCATACAAAATAGATCTTCGTCTCATTTACTTCGACTTGTTTTTTAAATCATTTTCATATATCTACTTGAAGAATAATTTTCTACTATAATTTTGAATCAATATCACCATTTTCATTGTATCCCTGAAAGCTGAGGAAAAAAACAACAACGTGCATATTTGAAAAAAAAGGAGTTGACAATTTATTTAAACATGAGCAGTATCAAATAAGATTACGCTTGAACTTTTTTTCTTTTTTGATGTACATGTTGAATCTCGCATAGATACTAATGTTGGACTAGGTTGACAATCATCTCCAACATCATTAACTACAGTTAATGCTTGTGTTGCAGTTGAATTTAAACGAAAATTAGAATATTTTTTATAATCATCAATTTTTTGACAATGCCAACAATTAAATATAACTCTCATACATTCATGACGTAATTGATTATTCATTATACCATAGACAAATGGTGATGCACATATTGATATACAATAAAGTAGTGTTAATAAAACAAATATATCTGGATGTAATTGTCGACGTTTATCATATGCACGTACAAAACCATATGGATGATAGCCAAGAAAAAATAATGTAAATAAAACTGCAAACATTTTTGTGATACGTATCTCACGTCTTAATGAATGTGATATTGATACTGTATTTGCATTTGTACGTCCACTTGTATATGATGCATGATAAACATGGCAAAATATTCCAACAAAACAAAATATTATTATTACATTTGGTAATATAATTAATATAGTTACATTAATAAGTATTTGTAATTTATTACGTATTGAACAACGTAATGCTTGAGATGAATATCCAATTGAATTTGTTATAAATGATGGTATACAACAAATTATTGGTAATATTCGTGTTACAACAAGTGAAACAATTACATAAGTTTTAACAGACATACGACGTAATAAGCTTGGATAAACGACAACAATAAATCGATGTATGGCAATTAGACAATGATGCCATAGAAGACATCCCATACAAACTGTTGAAAAATAAACCACTAAATTACATATTAAAGGTCCACCAAGCCAACCACGATTAGCATAGGAAAGACCAACAAAAAATTGATTGAAACCAATATTAAGTAAATCATTGAATTGTAACTTAAAAATAAAGGTAAAAAATAAAAATATTTACGTAAATAGTAGAATTACATTCTTAATATCATAGAGATTAAAATTATTTAATCATTTACAAAAGATATCTATTCTAAAATGTTTAAGATTTTCAGCGTTTTCCAATTTTTTTACTGAAGGAATATTTCTTTTTTTAGTGGGGAAAATAATCAGCAGATATTATGCATACGCTTGCTTACTTCCGATTAATTTTTTTAAATTCCCCTCAGTCTCATTGCCATTCCCTTGATGTTTCTTTGAATTGATAAATGAATAAATCGAAATTTTCTAGCATTAAAACGAGAGATTTAATTATGTGTTATTATTAAATTAGTTTTATTTTCTCATGCAAACTAATTAATTCTGCTATAACAACTTATGTGAGAATTTGTTTAGTGATCAGCACTCCAGAGAATTTTTTGACAACAAATAACATGATTAAACTAATTGGCAATCACTGTCAATGCACATGACCCAACTATAAGTGAAAATGATTTCCGGTATGTT